CCCGCCTCGGCCTCCCAGAGAGCTAGGATTACAGGCGTGAGCCACCGCGGCCGGCCTGAAAAATTTTTAAAAAATCTTGGGCTCAATGAAGTTTTATTCTAGACAGAAGAATATAAACAAACCAGTCAACCAACCAACCAACCAAACAACTAACAAAACAACACATAAATAAACACAGTGTAAAAGATAGATTCTTGGGGGAAATGCAGGGTACAGCAAATAGGAAGTGATGAAGATATGCTTGGCGAGTTTATTTTTGTTACCTGTCTACGTATCTCTCTATCATGGCAAAAAAAAAAAACCGAGTAAAATAAAATTTGCCATCTTAACCCTTTGATGTGTACAGTTGTGCAACAGATCTCTAGAACTTCATTTTGCAAAACCGAAACTCTACATCCATTGACCAATACTCTCCTCCTGACCTCTGCTCCTCCACCAGCCCTTGGCAACCGCTAATTCCACTTTCTGTTTCCATGAGTTTGACTACTGTAGAAACCTCACACAAGCAGAGTCAGACAGTGTTTGCCATCTTGTGACTGGCTTATTTACTTAACGTATGTCCTCAGTTTCATCCACGTTGTGGGATATGACAGAACTTCCTTCTTTTAAAAGAGTGATTAATATTCTACTGTGCATGTACACACACCTTTTCTTTGTCCATTTATCTGTGCGTGGGCATTTGCGTTGCTTCCACCTCTTGGCTATTGTGAATATGCTGACGTGAACATGAGTGTGCAAATATCTTGTCAAGATCGTGTTTTCAATCCTTTTGGATTATGCTCATAAGTAGGACTGCTGGATCCCACGTTCATTCTATTTTAAATTGTCCGACAGCTTCCACACCGTTTTCTGCAGAGGCTACATCATTTTACATTCCCACCAACTAGGCATAGGGGTTCTCATTTCTTACATTCTCACCAACATTTGTTATTTTCTTTTAATTGTTTGTTTGTTTTTGACAGTGGCCATTCTAATGGATGTGAGGGGACATCTCATTATAGTTTTGATTTTCATTTCTCTAATAATTAGAAATCTGAGCATCTTTTCATGGGCTCATAGGCCATTATCTTCTTTGGAGAAAAGTCTATTAGAGTTCTTTGTCTATCTTTTAACTGGATTGATTATTTTTCATTGTTGAGGTTATAGGAGTTCTTTGTATATTTTGGATATTAACCTCTTATGAGATATATGGTTTGCAATTTTTTTCTCCCATTCGTAGGTTGACTTGTGATTTCCATTAGTGAATTTTGAGCAAAGGCATGAAGGAGGCTCAGAGTCTGGCATTTGAGGGTGTATGAAGGCAGGGGAAGAGCAGGCGCAGTGCTCAGACACAGGAGGCTGACCAGGCAGTGGGGAGCCACAGGGTGGTCTGTGTGGCTACACAGAGGGAGGCAAGGGCCCCGAGCAGGAAGTGAGCATGGAGAAGCCCAGCCTGTGTGTGCGTCATGTCTGAACATGCAGGACACTGTGACAGTCATTTATTGCTGCCTCCTTCAATTACAGAGTGAGCTGCAGGAGGTCAGGGCCCATGTGTGCTGTGTCCCCCCCCAGCACATATGGCATCCAGCTTAGGGCCTCACACGCAGGGGACCTCCGTGGGACACCAGGCTGTGGGATCAGAGAACTGACTGGGTTGGACCCTGGTGCAACAGGGATTGGGCAGGCTGCCTCCTGCCTCAGCCTCAGTGCTGATATCTACAAAACAGAGACAATAAGAATGTCTTCCTCATGGAGGTCTTGTGGGAAGTTAATGATATTGGTAAACTCCAAATAAGATGTTCACTGAGTATTAAATATTTAAGGAAAGGATGAATGAAGGAGATTTCAACAAAAATGTGTGTGGGACCAAAGGATGAAGGAGCTTATGGGCTTCCTCCCTGGACTCTCTCTGCTGTATCCTGCCCCCTCTTCTGCTCTCACTCCCTCCCCTCTCTCTCTCTCTCTTTCTCTCTCTCTCCACTCAGAGCGTCCCTATCGAACCCCTGGAGGAACACAGCTCCCCAGATCAGCCTCCCCCAGCCGTGGCCGCCCACTTCTCAGGGCAGGAGCAGGAGCAGGAGCTCCATTATGCCTCTCTCAGCTTCCATGGCATGAAGCCTCAGGACCCGCAGAGACAAGAGGTCACCGGCAGTGAGTACTCGGAGATCATGATCCACAAGTGAGAAACTGGGGCGACTCGGCCCTGGTTGAGGGATCCCGTCCCCTCGAGCAAAGGAGATGTCAGAGGCTGATTCTTGTAGACTCCAAAGCCCTCTAGAGCCTCGCGCTGTGCAATAGAACATCAGAGCTTATTCCTCCTGTCCAACAGGGACTGTACCCTCTAATAGCTCCCCTTTCCCTGTACACCAGCCCACACGCTGGTACCCAGTAGTCTACTCTCTAATTCTGTGTGTTTCACTTTTTTAGACCTACATATGAGTGAGATCATATGGTATTTGTCTCTCTGTGCCAGCTTATTTCACTTAACATAATGCCCTCTAGATTTATCCGTTTTTTTTTGCAAATGACAGAATAATGTATTGTATATTTCACGACAGCTAAAAGAGAGGATTTTGAATGTTATAACCAAAAAGAAATGATAACTATTTGAGGTGATGAATATGCTAACACACTGATGTGATCGTTCCACAAGGTCTACATGTATGGAAACATCACCGGGGCTGTCTCAAGGCCGCTGGGCTACTCAGGGCAGGACTGGAATTTAAACCCCACCCGATTCTCGGGTCTCTTCTCTCATCCAACCTTGAGTCAAGCAGCCAGCAGGCTGGGTACTTCTGGCCCTAAGTTTACAGCAAATAATATTTCTTGGGGGCTTTGATGTTTACTGAAGAGGGTTTAGTAAATGTCCAGAGTCTCAGGGACAAGACAAATGCAGTGGAGGGGATGAAGCCTGGGGACTCCTGCCCAACTTCTGTGGCAGGTTTTTATTTATTTGTTTGTTTTCTTCCCAATTTTAAAATAGTCTTTTTTATTAGCTGCTTGCTTGTTTGTTTTTCCTTGAAATTTAAAAACAACATTTATTTTTCAATTGAGGCAAAATTTCCCTACAATGAAACACACAGATCTTAAGTGTGCAATTCCATGAGTTTGGCCAAATGTGCACCCCTGTGTAACCAACCCCCCAGGCAAGGATACAGACATGTTCCATCACTCCGGAAAGATGCTGGTGCCCATTCCCAGGCAATCCCCATCCCTTAGAACCACCACTTTCTGATTCCTATCACCAGACGTTACTTCTCCATGCCCTAGAACTTTATATAATTGGCATTATAAGTATGTATTCTTGTATCTGTTTTTTTTCCACTCAGCATTGTACTTTTTGAGATTCATCTCTGTTGTTTTATGTGTCAGCATTCTAGTCCCTGTTATCGCTGAATAGGATTCCACGGTATGAGTATTTCATGGTTCCTTTCCCTACGTTTTTTTGTTCATGAATATTTGCTTTTATTTGTGGCAATTATGAATACAGCTGCTGTGAACATGTTTGCACAAGACTGTGTGAGATGTTTTCATTTCTCTCGGGTGTGGGGGGCAAGGCTGACATGGGAACAATGAGGACAGATTCACATGCTGGATGCCCCAGAGCCTCCGGGATGTCCCTGCGGAGACCAGCATCCAGCAGCTCATGGGGAGGACTGGAGACGGACACTGGGAAACACCAGGGGTCCCATAGTCCTGATCGTGAACCCTCACTGCTGTGGGTTGAATATTGTCCCCTAAGAGGTATGTTCAAGTCCTAACCCCTGTACCTGCCAATGTCACTTAGTTTGGAAATACGGTCTCTGCAGATGCAATCAAGTTAATAGGAAGTCAACCTGGATTAGGACGGGCCCTAAATCCAATGACTGGTGTCCTGATACAAGGAGGGAAATTAGGGATGAAGACCAAGTGACAACGGAGGCAGAGATTGGAGTTATCCTGCCAGGAGCCAAGGGATGCCAAGGATGGCTGGCAACCACCAGTGGTGCTGGAAGAGGCAAAGGATTCTTCCCTAGGACCTTCGGAGGGAGTATGGCCCTACTGACACCTTGAGTGTGGACACCTGCCTCCAGAGCTGTGAGAGAATCCATTTCTGTGGTTTTAAGTGACCAAGTTTGTGGCAATTTGTTCTAGCAGCCCTAGGAAGCCAGTACAGTGAAGGCAACACCCCTGCTAGGCACTACTGTGCATCGGGTCCTGCACCTGTCCTGTCTCACGCAGGCTTCACGGTCACTTGGAGAGAGTCACAGAGCCACACAGGCCACAAGTGCAGGGACCAGGTGGCATCCAGGCAGCTTCCCCAAGGCCACAGAGGGGGTATTAATCAGTGGGCCACAGAGGTGCACCTACCTGAGGGATCGCCTTGTGCCAGACACCGTCATAACTGTGAACATTTACTCACTGCTTCCTCACCGCAGCCCCGTGAGGAGGGTGCCAGACAGTGAAGCTGTTCCTGAGAGCAGGGGCTGCAGCCCACGTAGATGCAGACTCAGCAAGTAGAGAGCCTCTGTCCCCCGACTCTCCCTGCTTCCCTCCCTTCCTCCCTCCTTCTCTCCCTCCCCACTTTCCTTTTTCCAGTTGTAAATGCCATTATTATGAACACATTTGCTTAGATATTTGGAACACATTCAAGAAGACAGCTCAGACACTAGTTCCAGGAGTGGTATTATGAACTCCAAACTAACTTCGTGCTGTTTCGACTTTATTGTTTTTTTCTAATTATAAAAGCAATTTATGCACCTTGTGAGGAAAAAAACTTTAGAACATAAAGTACAAAAAAGCAAATTAAAATTCAGATAGCACTGTTAATCTTTTACGTTTTCCACAATTTTTGTATGTGTGTGCATATACATAAAACTGTGGAAAACTGTACACGAGGGAGGAGCCTTGGGAATTAGAGCCAGAGCTCCGCGCACGGCCCGCCCCAGCCTGCACTGATTGGCCAGCTGTGATTGACATTTGGAGCTGCCAATGGCCATGCTGCCCATGATGTCATCTCAGGTCCTAAGCGAGGTCTCCAGACTTCTTCCAGGAGGCTCCGTCTCCCACCTCCGTGTGACTGGGCAGGTTCCCTCTCTTGACTGTCCCCTCCAGAGAGATCCTGGACCCTGTCCAGTCCAACCGGTCCCTGTCGGGTCTCAGCCCTTCTCCATCAGTCTCCCCTCACCTCCTTGCCCGCCTGATCTTGTCCTCCAGGTCCGAGGTGGACACTCACGTAGCCCGGTGTGTCCTGTGGGGAGAAATCAGGGAAGTCGCATCTCAGAGCCTTAAGAAACACAAGAGGGTCCTGGGTAGAGAGACGAGGGGGCCCAACTTCTTGCACCACCCAAGCGCTCCCCATGTGGGACCCCAGGAAGCGGGGGAGACGGATCTGGGGGCTCAACCTCTACACCAGGAGTCGTCAGCATTCCCCACACTTCGAAAGCTTTCTGGGGTCTTAAGGTCGCTGGAGGAAGATGCCATCGGGTGGGGGCTGGGGAGGAAAAGAGGCTGCATGAACCTGAGGGAGGAGTTGGCACCGCCGCCTAATTACCAGTGCTGCTAGTAATAATGATACTAGGGATAATAACGATTTACTTCACACCTATTATAAGCCTGGCTCTGTAGTAGACAGACATTATCTTTAACCCTCCCGATAGCGACACCAGAGAGATCCTTTAACCACACTTGCAGATGCTGAAATGGGGCTTCACAGAGGTGGCGTTATTCGCCCAAAGTCACACTCCTAGAACATGACAGAGGCCACAGTTCTCAGCCTGGCTTCTCTGACTCCCAGCCCCCTGCTCGCACACAGACTGGAGGGCTCAGACCGTGGAGAATGTGGCACCGTTAATAGGAAGGGCACAGTGGAGTCGGGTTGCTTTGGCTGTGAGGAGGTGGCTCTGCCAAGTAGGGGGATCCGTCCAGGTTCTGGAAGGAGAGGTGACTCAGAGAGTCTCTTGCAAACACTCTTGAACATTCTGGATTTTATCACAGCCGGTTTGGGATTGTGCATTGAATAATTTAATAGTAATAATAATATCGAAGACTTTAGTGAGTGCTGACTGCGCACCGACGCTTGCCCCAGCCTCTTTACCAGCAAGAGCTTACTTCATGCCAATAGGTCCCGTGGGCCTCCTATGGCCCAGGAGACATCCTTGTGTGAGAGCTGGGGAGGGCATCTCGGCAGACGGGGACACCCAGCCAGATGTGACTGCAGGGTGGTGAGGGTGGGAGTCCGAGCTCATCACTCCTGGGGGTTCAGGATGAAAACGACATATCCACGGGGTGTGTGTCCCTGTGTATGTGTGTATGCCCATGTGTGTGTGCCCATGTTCACACAGCCGTGTGCAGGTGTGTTTGTGTCAGTGAGTGTGATGTCTGTGCAGGTCTGCGTCTATGGTGCGCTGTGCCCAGGTGTCTGAGCCCATGAAAGTCCTGGTGAGGGCCCTGTCCTCCTCCCTTCCCTCTGCCACTGCCCGGGGAGTTTGGGCTGTGGCCCTAGGTGCGGTGGCCCTAGCCC